CTCATAATTATTGCACATTCCCTTAATTGGCGGACAGAAAACTTGCAGTGAGACCAAGGCCACAAATCCCATTGAAATGTCCACTCTTGGCTCGATTAGAAATATCATCTATGAAGAAAGGACTAGGAATGGTTAGTACTGAAGCAATGAATAAAAGTTTAAGATCATATTTTGAGTCTTTTTTGGACGAACGAAACTCGTGAAGTCAGTAGTACTGACTGGCCAAAAGCCGACTTCAAAACCTACTTCATGTTTACTTGAGAAAGACAGGGTACTAGTGGCATAGTGGACATTCTCAATCAAAAAGTAGCTGAAAAAACTCAAGTACAGAAACATTCATAAATTAATCGCATAATTTGTTGTGGAATGGAATATTCAAGAAAAAATGACACGGCAAAAAGCAGCCATAGTTTTCTGCAAGAAACGGTCGCTGAACTCGTTGCAGCCGGAGTGCTATCTTCATTCTTGTTTACGTAGATGAACCGAACTTGACAAACTTTTTAATGTATTATACTACCATGCAGGTATTTRATAAATAGTATTTTGATAATTGTGACRTAATATTTATGAGTTTTGGTATTTTCTTCTTTAAAAACGGTGCTTTTATCGAGTTAATTCTGTTTTTGTTTTTGCTACTGAATTTGCAAAAAAAATGAAAATATTTTTCTTCCTAAAATCTAGAGAAAGTCAATAGACAAGTTGTTGGGTACTAAAACAATTACATAATAAATTTTGCCAGGGTTTTACACAGATTTTGTGAGTAAATTGTTGAAATAACGTAAATGTTTTATTCAGATCTAAGGTTAGGGGTATTGAATTCAGGTTTCTCAGCGTTAAATTCCACTTGAAATACCATCTCATCCGGTTGACGTGTTGACCAATCAACGCACGACTTTAAAATTGAGGTATGAGATTCTATACAATACGAATAGATATTGTTAGATTCGATTTTAAACCAMTGGACTTGGAATTGYGACAATTACAACTTGTGCATAGCATTCCAATACAAATAGATAAGATATTAGGACTTCATTGCAAATCATGCATTCCCCTTTTTTTCTTTTTTGCAGGGCATTATTAAGATGCGTGGTATTAAAAGGTTACAACTGTTCTGTCGGAGAGTGATTTTTTTCAAAGGAAGTAAGCTGGACGTAAGGGCTCTATCAATACCATCAAAGTACTCTTCCTTAAAAAATGGTGAAGATGGGCTTGACGGCACACACGGACAAGACGGCGCGGGAGGTAGCTCAAGTTTAACTTTCTAGAGAACAAATTGTTCGGGTTTACACATGCAATTTTATACACTTTTTGACAGTCAACTCTCTCGTAAGCGACCACCTCGGGATCAGGAAAAAGTGCTCGTTTGCGAGAGATGGTCTATTACGAGAGAGTTTTTTTAACAGAGTTTATGTGGGAAACAATTATRATGGGAAATTTAAAATGTGGTCGCATACGGGATATGGTCGCTTACGAGAGTGGTCGCTCAAAGAGAGTCAATTGTATTTTAATTTTTAGTCCAATCACACGTTAAATCTCATTGGTTTCAATAATTTTACAAAGCTCATACATAATTTAAGTTGTCATTATAACGTCACAGATGTATGCTTCGGAAAACAATGCTCCAAAATAGTGGAAATTTGGAACAATTCATATTGTCTTCTAAAGTGTTATAATTATAATGAATCCTGATGTATCAGAGATTGCTCATGTACATTTTATTGAGCTTAACGCACGGCGCATCGTCCTCATAATTCTTATTTTTGACAACTGGAGCGAATTCATAAATCGATCGGCTATATTAGCCCATTTGGTCACATGCGTGAACAATTGTATCTGATAAAACATATTTTATTTCATTTTTTACATAAAGACTAAATGAGAATGACTTTTATCAGATATAAAGGTCCATGATCAAGCAGAGGTCACAAGTTTAATATCGCATCATTGACACTTGCAGACTTCTGCCGAATCCCTTAAACAGCAACCATCATTCTAGTATATGAGAGGTTTCAGCTGAAAAGGGGTCTTATTCATAAATATTTTGCTTTGGACTACATATAAAACTGTTGCGTCATCAAAGGGATCTTAATCTTTAAGACCCTTTTTAAGTTGCAACCCCTCATATACATGACTAAAAATTGGTTGATGAAACACGAGTACTGTATGAACAGGAGACATTTATGAGCCTTTAAACTGCGAGTTAGAAGCGAAAATGTTTAGCCCAAACAGGTTGGACACGAATATTATATATTTCTTATCAAATTCCAACATATGCTAAAGCAGTTCTTGCCAAAAATTTTAAGACAAACGAACATTTTTATCAAAAGAAAATCGAAGTGAAATTGCTCTGCAAATTAGAACCATATGAAGATTTAGTAACGGCATGACGATTCTTCGTTGTGTTTACCTTATTGACCAAATGAATTTGATATTGTTTCTTTGTTGTCAGTTGACATCTACGCTCACAAGGCTTTTGGTTACGTTGATATCGTATCAAGTGGAGGGAATGGAAACAAAGGTCAAAATGGTGCCAATGGAAGGCCAGGGGCCGATAGGAGTGACATAACGGTAAAGTTTGTATTACATTTAGTATAAATTCTTCTGCAAAACATGTACAAGCGCTGTACCTCCATATTTGGACTCACCTTTGAAACACAATACAAAAGACAGTGAATCTGTATTTAATATAAACTAAATCAACTGCAAATGCATGTGCGATATCCGTATTTATTATATACATATACTGAGATTTAAGCACCAAAAAATTCATTGGATAAAAATCGTCCCTTAACAAGTTAGAACGCTCCTTATTGGTCGTACGATTTTTTTCACTAGTGAAAAATATTGTACAGCCAATCAAAGGTCAGATATGATGTTTTTCACTAATGAAGAAAATCGTGTCGGTTTTTACTGTGTGATTTGAGAAAATGCGACTAGCCAATCAGCGCAAAGCTCACAAGCTCTGGGTGATTGATTTGCGACCAGTCCTGCATATGAATTCGCCAAGGTTGTAAGCCAGTGAGCCCGTGCATCCCAAATCCTACGGGAGGATTTGCACAGCAAAACTCGACCCTCGACCCAGTGGAGTAGGCTGCATGTTATTTTATTCTATCCTAATAATTTTTTTTTAGAGTTAAATATGAAGATAATTCCCCATTTTAATTTCGCCGGTTTCTTAGTATTGGTCTCCATAGCAATAAGTACGTGTGATGGGGTTGCTGGCACTAAGCACACTGCCAGAACCTTGTTCACCGGTGTTAGCTGTTTCAACCTGCCACGACGAGGACGTATGTAGGGATGGACTTTGGTAGGCAAATAAAAAGTTAATAGTCGACACATTTTAAAAGTTAAAAGTTAAAAGTTAAAAAAAAAGTTAAAAAAAAGTTTAAAGTTTAAAAGTTTAAAGTTAAAAGTTCCCACTGCTTGTCACAGCATTGTCTTTAGGGTAGAAGCTGGAGACTCGTTTCGAGTGTGTCGATCATTCGAGATCCAATTTCCCTCCCCCCAGTCGCAGATTGTCAAAACCAAAGAAGGGCGACTCTAAATTGGTAGCAAACATTAATTGACATCTGACTAATCATCGAAATGATAATACATTATTTACTAATTACTAGTAGAAACTTAAT